ATATTACTATAGTATGGACTGGAGTTTTAGCTACTGAGTAATTATCTGTCTTAGAGTTTTAGCCAAGTACTATGTTTCCACTATCCGGTAAATAAATAGGTACCTACATATGGGAGGTGAAAATGAAGCCCGTCTTCCTTGAATCATTTATTTATCCAATATCTCTCCCACATGGACCGTATGTTAGCCCTTGTACTTGGCACTTGGAATAAAAAGATAATTGGGTCTTTGCCCTCAAAGAGTTCAAAACTATCTAAGAAATCAAAATGAAACATTTTTAGGAGCAATTTTAGATTTTGGTATGTTAAAAGGTACACTTTAAAGCAAGTGCACATAACTCAGATTTCATTATTGAATATTTTAAACATCTCTAGAAGTCTGAAATCGTTAACAAATATTGGGATTGGGTATTTTGTGTCTGTCAGAGAGAGGGTCTAGAAGATAAACAGGGAAGTCAGACAAACAATTTGGGAAGGGGAAGAAGTCTCCTGCAGGGCCACACCTTCCTTCTTGCTTCAATTCTGCCTCCCTGCATTTCTTCTTACCAGGTCATTTCTACCCTGATATGGTAGATGCAGTGCCTATGACTGTTGGACTAGTGGGCTGGGTCTCTCTAGGGAGAACAAAGTAAAGAATCACTACCACGAGCAGCGTAGTTTATAAAACTCAAATCAACAATAAGTTAAGGCAAAATAGGTTTTGCCCTTTCTCCTCTGTTGTGTGTGCTGTCTTCGCTTTCTACCTTCCACCCTCTGCCATAAGATGACACAGCACGAAGGCTCTTGTCAGATGTGGACACCTGGATCTTGGGGCTCGCAGCCTCCAAAGCTATAAGAAATAAATTTCTTTTCTGTATAAATTACCCATTCTGTGGGAGAAAATTTTTGCAAACTAAGCATCTGACAAATGTCTAATGTCCAGTATCTATAAGGAACTTAAACAAACTTACAAGAAAAAAACAAATAGCCCCATTAAAAAGTGGGCAAAGGACATGAATAGACACTTCTCAGAAGACACACGTGGCTCACAAGCATATGAAAAAAAGCTCAATATCACTGATCATTAGAGAAATGCAAATCAAAACCACAATGAGATACCATCTCACACCAGTCAGAATGGTTATTACTAAAATGTCAAAAAATAACAGATGCTGGTGAAGTTGTAGAGAAAAAGGAATGCTTACACACTGTTGGTGGGAGTGTAAATTAGTTCAGCCATTGTAGAAAACAGTGTTGCGATTCCTTAAAGAGCTGGAAACAGAACTACCATCCCGCTCAGCAATCCCATTACTGGGTATATACCCGAAGGAATGTAAATCTTTCTATTATAAAGACACCTCCATGTGTATGTTCACTGCAGCACTATTCATAACAGCAAAGACATGGAATCAGCCTAAATGCCCATCAATGATAGACTGGATAAAGAAAATGTGGTACATATATACCATGGAATACTACACAGCCATAAAAAAGAATGAGATCATGTCCTTTGCGGCAACTTGGATAGAACTGCAGGCCATTATCCTTAGCAAACTAATGCAGGAACAGAAAACCAACTGCTGCATGTTCTCACCCATAAGTGGGAGCTAAATGATGAGAATACACGTACACAGAGAGGGGAACAACACACACTAGGGCCGAATGGAGGGTGGAGGGTGGGAGGAGGGAGTGGATCGGGAAAAATAACTAATGGGTACTAGGCTTAACAGCTGTGCAATAAAATAATCTGTACAACAAGCCCCCATAACACAGTTTGCCTATGTAACAAACCTGCGCATGTACCCGTGAACTTAAAAATTAAATTAAAAAAATTACTCATTCTGTGGTATATAACAAAACAAAATGGACTAAGACACTGGTTATTATTTCTTTATAGCTAGAGTGCCTGGCAAAAGCAGGGGCTCAGGAAATATTTATTTATCGAATGAATGAATATGCCACCAACTTTCAGATAAAAACGGGTTATCCTAAATTCTAGCATTTTTATTCTTCTTTCTTATCCAATAATTTTCTTGTTTGTTTCCTCATTTTATCCCTGAATTGACACAGGGGAAGGCAGGGGAGGTAATAATCCCAAGCCTATTTTAGATAGACTTTTAGAGACCCAAGACCACACATTTTGCAAGTTGTAGAGTGAGTGATAAACTGTGTGGACCTTACAGTCCAAGATCTGCATTTCCAGTCACAATAATATAATGGATGAGGGACCTGACACAACAGAAGGTTCCAGGGCTAGGACGAGACTTGGTAGGCCAAAGGGAGAGTCCCACCACTTCTTCCTGTGCAGTGGGAAAGCAATTAAGAAAATGCAGCGCTCTGGTGGCAGCTGGAGAGTTGGCAGGCTTCTCAAGAGAAGGACTGTAAGCAATGTCATAGGCCGGGAAGATGGATGGGGCCCATTTATGCACCAAGGCTGGTGTACAAATGGAATCTTGCCCAGTCTGACTGGCCTTTCTTCAAAGGTGTCATTGACAGATGAGTATCTAAATGTTTTTGTTTAAAAAAGAAAACACAGAAAAAGAAAGAAGAGAATAAAACAAAAAAAAACAAAAAAACAAAACAAAAAAACCTCTTTCTACCCCAGACATACACAGCCAATGAACATGAGATGACCAGGTCAGGCCTGGGAGTGAGGCTGGCCTTTCCAAGGAGTCCTCGATAATTATTTGCATAGTTGTACACCTCTTCTTTCAGAGGAGTTCCACTTTAACACAAGGATTTCATTGAAACCTAACATTCCTGCAAGTCGGCTGTCTCCCATCTGCTGTTGGGACACATTGATGGGAGAAAAGCCTGCTCACATATTCATCTTCATCTGCCAAAACAAGGCTTCTTCCCCAATTAAAATGGCCTTTTTAATTTTAGAGTGGTAAACAGTGTCTACTTAATTTGAGGAAAATACACAGAGGAAAGTTACCAAACCTAACTTCGGTAACTTTGTGACATGATGGTTGAGCCAGGGTCAGGAAAACTTGGGGCGGGGGTGCTGAAGAGGCCACTCTGTTTTTGGAGACAGAGAGGTCTTCTTGAGGTCACTGCCTTCGTGGGGCTGCATCCACAGCAGGCTTCAACATCAAAACCAAGCAATTCTGTTTTATCTTATGTCTATCAAACAAAGTTTGAAAAAGCTTAATAATCACCAATTCTAAAAGGTAAGGACTAAATACAGTTCTTTAAATGACCTTGCTTCTTGGCCTTGCTCTGTAATTGTCTTCTGAAAATGGGGACCATTTGGCATACACAGAGAAGCAGTAAATAGGAGGGTGCCTTCTCCACCCACTCAAGGTGGACCAAACTGTGTCTCGTGACCTGCCTGTGGTCTATGGCCGGCGATGAAACTCGACAATAGACTGGCATAGCATTTGGAAAGTGTGCTTTCTTCTCTAGACTGGATACACGGTGTTCAGGCTCAGACCACGTTTCACCCATACTCAGTCAAATAGGCATTTATGAAATGTAAGGCATTTGGAAACATGTGAGCATAGTTTGTAAACTTGGACAGTGGTGGCTGGTACAGGCACAGTGACCTTAGGGCTCATCCTTCATGATGACTAAACTAGAAACCCAAAGAAAGGGCTTTAAAAAGAAATTGCAAACAGACGACCAGATATTCTGGCCAGACCATGTCTTTGACAGCTGCTGCATGTGGCCTCAGCTCCCGGGAGATAACATGCCTTCAGAATTAGCTCGCTGGACCAGCCTGGAGGTAAGCAAGTCTGACCTCTTTTAAGCATAAATAAATCTTGTTGAGTTAAATGATCCTGTCTCCCACTTTCCTCAAGGAACATGAGACATTAAGTGACAAAATCTGAAGACAGCAACTGTGAATCCTCAGAGCCCGTATCTCCTGGCTGATTAAGAATAGGTCTGTTTAATTCAAGACGAGCCACAGGTCAGATACATAAGGCTGTCATCCTTGCCATACCCAGTAACTCAGGAATAACCAGGGCAACTATCCCCAGATCTTTCAACCCTACAAAAAAAAATATACATAGGCCAAGTCAGAAATAAAGTGGGGGGGGGGGGAGGAGTAGTATTTCCTCGCCAAAGAACAACCACTTCAAACGGGTCTCCTCCATCTGCTCCATTTGCACTCCTTCCCACAAATATTCAGTATGTGAAGACACAGAAGTAGATGTTCAAAGTCATCCTAAAGTACAACTTATTGAGGGAGACTGCTGGAAAACAAAAATCGCTCTCTTTAGTAAACCCAGCCAATACCAGGACGGTGCTTGGAGCATATCATCCACCCATCAACCAACAGCTCCAAAGTGATCAGAATAAACCATGTGCCAGACACACCCTCAGACCTTGTTTTTGTATCAGCATTTGTCTTCAAAGAGGGCTTTTTGGTAGTTGCCAGCCCTTTAGGCCAAATGCCACCAATGAAAGCCCCTGGCCATCCACAGACAACTGCTGACACTCCTAAAAAGTGAGAGAAATGGAAAAAGCCAGAAACAGGACTTCTTCGACAATTTGAGACTCTCAGTCATGTAATATTTTGGCTTTCCCCTGGTCCCAAACCCAGCACCTGCAGATACAGCTAACTCTAATTCCCTAGGGGGATTAGGGGGATGAAAATCTCGGTCTCTCTAGAGAAGGGCACATTTCAGTTTGTGTTTGCCTAAAACAAACCTGCAATTTCCTTGTATGCCCACTGTCATCCTAATGACACAGAAGCTGGAGATCTGGAGTTTACTTTGAATGAACATGCTACCTACCATCGAGAAATTCTCCTCGGCACGTACTGACAATTTCTTACTGGCTCAGTTTAAGGATAGAAACCCTGGGAAAGTTTTCTGTTTTCACATCAACCACCACCAGCTGTCAGAGTCTTGGTTTGAAGGAGATGACACCAAGCTGAGAAGGAAGTAATTTAAAATTGTTTTCTCCTTTGAAAACCTTTTTTGGAGGATAAGCGTGCTACGTAGAAGCAGCCCACTGGCCAGATGAATGGACACCATGCTTACTTTGTCTTCATGGATTGAATCCATTATTTACCTGCCACCACAGGAGATTTCCGTTCATCCAGGAGCTGGATGGATGTACTCGCGGTCACCACATTGCTTTTATTGACTGGTCCTGTAAAAAGAAAAAACACCACAACAAAAATGAAGATAATTACAGTGTACACGTTAAGAGAGTAATCATATCGGTCCACAGTCACCAATTCTGCAAATTGTTTCGGGGCTCGGTCCCAGGCCCCAGAGTCTTCTGGGGTGTGGATGTCCTGCCTACGCTGCCAGGCCATGAGTGCAGTGCTGCGAGTCCTCCCAGCTGAAGGAACCAGCGAGCGGAGTTATGACCACCAGTGCACTGGGGAACATCCAGCCTCTTCACATCGAAACCATTGACCACCATCGAGGGACCACATTTTTTGGTAATCTGTGGTTTCAAATTGCAGTGTTTACTTGTGTCAGTGGTCATATTTACACTGCCTGTCTAAATATAGCCATGAAGAGATGTATGAGGGCTTTGAAATTATTTTACGAGTTGGCGACTTTAGCTCTGATTCATTGGTTAAATCTTTACTGATCTATAAAACTGTAATTTCGAATTTTGAGCCCAGTTTTTCTGGGCAAAATTATTCTAAACAGTGATAGAGCTAGGGCATAATCTTCACTCCAAACTATTATTATTCTGGCAACAATATGGCATTAGTATTAAGAGATTTTCAATTACCAGCAATGGTTCCAATATCCATGAATTAAAAGATACTGAGCACAAATTCTGAATGCCTGGAGTTAATAATTTAGTCCAAGGCCCACCTGCTAAAAGGTGCTCAATGAATGTGAGTTGGATGAAATCCAATTGAATTGAGAAGCAGGGAAAAGTCAAACCTGAATTTGAATACACTTATGACCAAAGCAATGAGAAATTTTCTCCTGGCCCAAGTTTAAGCAGCAATAAAAACCAGTTTCTTTTCTAGTTTGCACAGGTATTCAATACATAGTAGACAAAATTGGAGAGAGCTCAACCACAGAGACTTGTAGTTGGTGATTTTTAAGATTTTCCCTGACTCTAAGGGGATTATGAAATGTCCTAAGATGTTACGTCATCTGTAACTTTGTCATGAACAAGGTAAAACTCACTTCATTATACCATTACATTGAAAGTTTGGTGAAAATCCCAGTTACCCAAAACCAATCCAACAACAGCTTTAGTTAACTCGATGATTCCAGAATCAGAAGAACAGCAAGCTAACTTCTATTTTTTTCTTTAGAGGACTGTAAAAAGGAAGTCTTAAGAGATTGCATGATAGAAGACAATGTTATTATTCATAGGTCTGCAGCAGAATGAAAAAGTTCACTGTCTCTTGATATTTTCAGCAATAAAGTATGGTGCAGACAAGCATAAAGAAAGAGCTTCAGGCCAGGTATGGTCCTAGCACTTTGGGAATCCCAGGAGGGTGGCTCACTTTAGGTCAGCAGTTAGAGACCAGTGTGGCCAACATGGTGAAAAACCATCTCTACTAAAAATACAAAAATTAGTTGTATATGGTAATGGGTGCCTGTAATTCCAGCTACTCAGGAGCCTGAAGCAGGAGAATTGCTTGAACCCAGAAGGCAGAGGTTGCAGTGAGTCAAGAGCATGCCACTGCACACCAACCTGGGTGACAGAGCAAGACTCTGTCTCAAAAAAAGACAGAAAGACAGAGAGACAGACAGAAAGAAAGAAAGAGAGAGTGAGAAAAAAAAGAGAAAGAAACAAAGAAAGAAAGAAAAAGAAAGAGCTTCAGACACCTGGAAATTTATATCTCAGAAAGCACACATAACTACAGGCAGGCATACATACAGGTCTGTTAGCAAAGGAAAACAGACCGAAAGAATCTTAGACCTGAAAAGAATCTAAGAGATAAATGTAGTCTGAAATCCCAACCAGCAAAGAACCTAATCAATAATATTCAGTCTCTCCTTAAATATGCCCATTGATGAGGGACTGTCTTCCTAATGAGTCCACTCAACCAATTATATGAGCACTCTTTGTTTTCTACAAATTTCAAAAGCACCCTTTCTGAAAACATTTTCAGTCATGGAAATGAGAAAGCACCAAGCCTTAGGGAGGGGGATTGGGCACAAACACTGGAGAACTTCCCTTAGGATTGAGTTAGGAGTATTTGTAAAAGATTAATATGAAAGGAACTGATATATGTAAAATATAACTACAGACTGAACTTTCCAGAGCAACCCAAGTTTACAGAACTAGGTTTCATTCATCTCTCAAGTTTCTGCAATAAGCAGTATAGAGTGAGCACCCAAAATACCAGATGCATGAGGCAAGGAAAAAAAAAATGAGGAAAACTTAAGCATTTCCAGTATGCTTTGCTTCTAAAACTGGTTGAAATAAGATAGCATTCAGTTCTTTTTGGAGGCAGGTAACTTTAATTTTTTATACTATTATATCATAAACTCTTAGGACTGAAAAACCAATCAGCTACATGCCTCTCATTGGTGACTGCAGGCTCCTGTCAAGAGAGCACATGGTTATACAAAGTCAGTCCTTAGTCCGGCATATCAATTTAAATCAATTCAGTTCAAATGGGGAACAGTGAAGACATTCATACAGCCAACAGACACATGAAAAAATGCTCATCATCACTGGCCATCAGAGAAATGCAAATCAAAACCACAATGAGATACCATCTCACACCAGTTAGAATGGCGATCATTAAAAAGTCAGGAAACAACGTGCTGAAGAGGATGTGGAGAAATAGGAACACTTTTACACTGTTGGTGGGATTGTAAACTAGTTCAACCATTATGGAAAACAGTATGGCGATTCCTCAAGGATCTAGAACTAGATGTACCATATGACCCAGCCATCCCATTACGGGGTATATACCCAAAGGATTATAAATCATGCTGCTATAAAGACACATGCACACGTATGTTTATTGCGGCACTATTCACAATAGCAAAGACTTGGAATCAACCCAAATGTCCATCAGTGACAGACGGGATTAAGAAAATGTGGCACATATACACCATGGAACACTATGCAGCCATAAAAAAGGATGAGTTTGTGTCCTTTGTAGGGACATGGATGCAGCTAGAAACCATCATTCTTAGCAAACTATCACAAGAACAGAAAACCAAACACCGCATGTTCTCACTCATAGGTGGGAACTGAACAATGAGATCACTTGGACTCGGGAAGGGGAACATCACACACCGGGGCCTATCATGGGGAGGGGGGTGGGGAGAGGGATTGCATTGGGAGTTATACCTGATGTAAATGATGAGTTGATGGGTGCTGACGAGTTGTTGGGTGCAGCACACCAACATGGCACAAGTATACATATGTAATAAACCTGCACGTTATGCACATGTACCCTAGAACTTAAAGTATAATAATAAAAAATAAAAATAAAAACAAAAACAAAAACAAAAAACAAATGGGTAACAGTGGACCTCTACAGGGATGTGACTCACTGAAGGTTCTGGCAAGGGATGCTCGAATTTTCTCTAAGTGGGGCCATGACAACATTTAAAAAAATTGACTGACAAGTTTGTATTAAAATCCCATAGGGTGCAAAACATCAGCCCTCCTTTCTGAAATACATTTACGTAATTTGGTAAAGGAAAAACCTTCCTTTTCTTTGAGGCTATTAGGCTTACGGAACAGGTCACTGGTTCAGGGCTGACCCAATATTCAGCACTGGCTCTGAGGGTTGAATTTGGTTCCTTTCAGCATTCAGGCAGCTCCTCAACACCCTGCACACAACGCCCAGACCCACTGGACTAGACAGACAGAGCCCGCCTCCAACAAGGGCACCCACCAGTGCTGAACGGGATCGAGTAGACGAAGCTCCCTGGAATCTGCTCAGCGGCTCTTCGGTACCAGAGAGGGAAATGGTCTGCGTTAAAAATGTTCTCCTTGTCACCTGCTTTCAGGAAGTCCCTTGAAGTGGAAAAGAATCAGAAGAACGTGCATCACTCAGCAGAGTAAAGGTGGGCCTGGAGCACCCCGACAGCCTTCATCACGTAAAACCAGTGTTCACTTTTAGAACCCCAACTTGCCTTTCTCAGTATACAGGGGGCCTGACTTAACACTGGGCACCCACATTACTCAAAAATATCTTGCAGAGCCCTAGGAGTCAGATTCTGAGTGGGTAAAGCTTTGTCTGGCTTTAAAACCGAAATATATATACTAATACCCTTGGGAGAATCAACTTCTTTTTTTTTTTTTTTTTTTTTTTGAGACGGAGTCTTACTCTGTCGCCCAGGCTGGAGTACAGTGGCGTGATCTCGGCTCACTGCAAGCTCCGCCTCCGGGTTCACGCCATTCTCCTGCCTCAGCCTCCCGAGTAGCTGGGACTACAGGTGACCACCACCTCGCCTGGCTAACTTTTTTGTATTTTTTAGTAGAGACGGGGTTTCACCGTGTTAGCCAGGATGGTCTCCATCTCCTGACCTCGTGATCCGCCCACCTCTGCCTCCCAAAGTGCTGGGATTACAGGCTTGAGCCACCGCGCCCAGCCGAGAATCAACTTCTTAAGTAGATCTCATTCTTCTTAGAGCAAATGTAAAGAAGGTAAACCATGCTTCTCAGAAAAAGTGCAAAGGAAGTAAATGTGAGCCCACACTGAGATCTTTACACCCTTCTTCCCTCACCTGCCTCCTCTCTGGACAAACAGGCCTGCTCATGCCCCCTGTGTGCATCCCTGCCCTCTACTGACTCCCTGCCTTCTGCACAGAGAGCTTGTCTATCGGAAAGGCTAGGTGCATTCTTCTTTCCATCTTTTCCTCTCAAAATCACACTCATTTTCAAAGTGCGCCTCATCTACCATCTACCCCATGAATCCACAGAGACACATGCAAGCTGTTGCCACACCCTGGGCTCCCACACTCTTAGTAACTTTCATATAGCCTTTTATTTATTTTTTTGGCCTGCACAATCATCAGATCCCCTCCCTAGACCTCCTAAGATTTCTGAGGACAGGAGATTTGTTCACATGTGTGCACTCTTCACAGAGCCTTAAGCATACTCAAGTCCCAAGGCATGATTATTGACCTGACATCCCTCTAGAGATTCACATGTGTTCTCCAGGACCTGAAGTGCCTTATCTTAGCTGATACAGTGCAACCCAGGCGGTGGGGGAATGACTGCCTGGTTAGGCCACAGTCTGCTGCAGACATTTTTCCGGAAGGGAGACCAATCAGGGGATAATGTTTAGGTAGGGAACAGGCCATCAGTTGAAGCAGAAATGGCACCACTTTCAACCCAGCAGTTTGCAGCGTAGATTTGGATTGCAAAGACCGTGGAGGGAAATTTTCATGCTAGGCTGTAACTGGTTGGTTTCCTGAACTTGGCACCCAGTTCAGGAAAGCATTCTGTAGTTGCAGGGTGTGTCTAACCAGTGTTCCCTTCACCTCTACCAAAGACGGAGTGCCTACTTTTAGGGAAGAGGCCCATGCCATTGGAGGTCACCCTCCAGGTTCTTAGATAGCTCTGGAATCTACCTCCCTATAACTTGTATTAGCATGTCCTTACTCCTTTCTAAGGTCTGGGACCTTCCTTTTCCCAATATTATCAGGGCCTGGCTCTCAGCAGGCGCTTGGTATATGCTTAATGATCACAAGATAAATTTAATCTCATATCCAGATAAGAGCTCCTCCAGTATTAAACACAATTTCCTATATCTTCAAAAATAAAATTTCTCAATTCTTTTAAATTCCTTTGTCTGTATGGCCATCTTTATGAGTGCTCTACTTTGTTAATACTGCTATAAAATTTTGTGCTCCTAGAACTGGTAATTGTAGGTCAAAAATGGTCTGACATAGCATAGCTGCTTGCATTTGGTCTTGACTCTTATTGACAAAATGACTCTCCAGAAATTAAAAACGTTTAAAAGAAAATTTTTTAAAAAGCACTCTTCTCTCATTCAGAAGGCCAAGGCCAACTTTGGAGTCATATGCAAGATTAAGAAAGTGCGGAGATCCCCTGTGCTATCTAAAGTGCTGGACGTCAGGACTTCCAGGCTCATCTTGGTAGACAAGCTCTTCCTTAGGCTGCTGTATTCAGTGATAATGTTTCCTGATCTAAAAGTCATCAGACGTCAGGAACACTGAAATTTTAGCCTTTTCATTTCTTTCGCTACACATGAAATTCTTCATAAACTTGACTTGGACGGTGTGAGGAAGAGCCTCTGTTGCCTGGCCCATGGCAGGATACATTGCTGCTTTCCACACACAGGTGCAGCCACGGCTGATCAGAAGGTGTTCGCACTCCCAGCAGGTCTGTTCAGTGGTCATTACAGCTAAGAGGTGCCCTGTCTCTGCAGCACAGGTTAATGGTGCCACAGGGGGCCTTTTTCAAGAGTCATAGTAGATGAGATGGTAGCTCGGTTAGAAGGTGTGAAGTGGTCCTCAGATGGTGACATTCAGGCTTTGTGGGTGGCTGGCAATAGATCTGGAATGCTGAACATCTGGGTGGCCAGTGCCCTGCTGCCCGGGATAGTGCTGGCACCCAGGCCAGCCAGCAGGAGCCTGCAGTACTTGATCCCCATTAGCCCTGGTGTCAATGTGAAAGGACTGAGTTGCCGGGAAACCCTGGAGGCCTCTGCCAACTACTGGGCAGCGATTCTGGAGGAACCGGGAAGGAGCGACCTGATTTTACAGAATCCCAAAAATGTTCTTCAGGAAGAAAGATCCTTCTGGGTAAGGTGAAAGTCTCCTTCTGGATACTGGGAGCTACTGCAGTGGTGTGTCAGGCTGGTCTAGGTTCTGGGAAGAACTGGGTGACTTTGAGTGAATAATTGAGTCTCTGACCCCCATTTACTCATCTACAAAATGGGAACAATAAAAATGCTGCACTTTACCAGGGTTCTATCAGAATTACATAACACCATATGTGAAAGAGTGTTATGGACACTGAAAACAGGCTCTAACAAATAAATGGGATTCTTAAAGCCAGAGCTTCTTTTGTTCTCAGGGGCTGAAAGGGCAGGGGTAAAGTGGTCACCCTCTAAACTCAGGGTTGTATGCTATGAAGGCAAACATCACTGGATGCTATATGCATGGTGATGTGAGAGGTTGTGCTGAAGGCACAGAATGTATTATAACTCTTGGGGGTGACAGCCACGTTTCAGTATGATTGACCAACTTCCAAATGCAGGTGGCAGGGGTATGGGATGAAATCTCAGTGTAGGAGACTGATGATAGTACGAGATAATTGCAGGGTAGCAGCTTTATATTATCAAGTTCTCTGCCCAATACTTTAAGCTCTGCCTTTCACGCCCTAGTCAAAAGCAAAAACTAAACCAAATGTCAGAAATGCTAAAAACTTTCTCAGCCTGACTTAGAGAGTGTATCCAAATAGCTGAATCTTGACAAATACCATTTGATGGGAAGGGATAGGCAGGTAAGATCTTAAGACAATAGATGTCAAGATGCCTCTATATGAAGCAAGGACAGGAGTTTCTTGAAGACAGAAGATTTCATCCATCCAAACTGTCAATGAGTACCCACTCTGTGGGTCACGTAATGCCACAGAGAATAGAACACATAGTTGTAGGAATTTTTAGCTTCCCAAAGAAATTTTTCATCCATAAAAAAAAAATTATTTTTGAGACAGAGTCTCACTCTGTTGCCCAGGCTGGAGTGCAGTGGTGCAATCTCAGCTCACTACAACCTCCACCTCCTGGGTTCAAGTGATTCTCCTACTTCAGCCTCCCGAGTAGCTGGGATTACAGGTGTGCACCACCATGCCCGGCTAATTTTTGTATTTTTAGTAAAGACAGGGTTTTACCATGTTGGCCAGGCTGGTCTTGAACTCCTGACCTCAAGTGATCTGCCTGTCTCGGCCTCCCAAAGTTCTGGGATTACAGGCATGAGCCACTGTGCCCAGCCCATCCATAATTTTTTTGGATCTTCACAGTAACCAAAAGAGATCATTGCTCTCACTTTTCAGGTGGACAGAATGAAGACACCCAAGTGAGATAAGCCAGGTATACTTCCCAGCATCCTTACTGTGGTCCTTTGTCTTTTAAATCTGTCACAATAACACAGTTATCAGACCAGCAAGGTGTCATGTTTTATTGTTACTGTTTTGCAGCTTTGCTTGTTTCAGTCTCAATACCAGCAGCAGACTTTCTCATTGAGTATTAGAAAAGGAATTCCCTTGTCTCCTCTTGCCTATCTGGATCCTAACAGGAGAAGGTAACGTGTATCTCAGCACCTCTAGCCCTTCCCAGGAACTTGCCCTCTGGAAAAGCAATTGGAGCGGGGGTGGTAAAATGCTTTAAAAAGGCTTTAAAAATCAAGTTGCAACTATAGTCAAACTTCATAGATGACAAATGTGAGTATCAAGAAGGTCAAAGTCCTGGAACAGAATTCAAAGCCAGTCTCTCAAAATATCTAAACATTGATTGATCCGTCATTTACCAGACTTGGTTTTGTAAGGTTATATGGTGAGTGTCAGGGCCTCATTTAGCAGATGCAAACAGCACTGTCAAGCTCCAAGGAATCACCGCCTCCTTGGACCCCTGATGAGCCAACCCCTCTCAAATTGGCAGCTACCCTCTGGCTTGGTTATTCACCTCCAGGTACCCTGAAGGTTGGGGGTATAATGTTCTGTGGTAACCTCTGCACTCACACATACACTTGCAAACCACTCTCAAACTTTCTGAATCTTGGGACCCATTTGTCCATGTCTTAACAATCTCTCTTGTTTCAGAGAAAATAAACTGAAAAAATTATTAACAGACTCAGGAAAGACTTCACCGTCTACCTACTAGCACTGGTGAAACACCAGTTTGATGCGTTAAGGGCCTGTGGCTCTCTGAAGATACATGGGCTGAGCATCTGGGTACTAGACCCGGAAACTCTCTGCCCACCATCCATCCAGGTCTCTTTGGAAGTCCAAGGAGACACTGTCAAACCCCAGTGTCCCCAGAGGGCCCACTCCTGGGTGTGGAGCTCTGCAGCCCCTCAGGCTAAGCACAGAGGCACAGAGGTTTATTAGTAAAATATAAACAAACAAACAGGACTTGGAACACTGATTTTTGTACAGGCAGGAGGAATTCCTCAGCATAGCTGCAGAACAGCTGAATACCCTGAAGCCATTTGTTACAAGATGAGTGTTTCCTCCCTCTGGCGGCTCCCCTAGCAGCCATACCACCTCCCAGAGTTCTGAAATGACTCATCAGGACGGAAGAGGACTCCAGGACAGTGGACAGAAGCCAACAACAAGCGTGAGGAACAAAGGGTGGTGGAAGGGCTAACAGGCAGGTGAAAGCACATGCTGGGGCCCCCATGGTAGAACAGAGAAGAAAAAATCTCAATAGGCCTGGAGTGGCCTAAATTATGTTTCTACCAGTAGTGGAATCCAGAAATGAAATAAGCTTCCCTTTGAATGTTCCATTTCAGGAGCTCCCTGGGCCCCTGTAGAGGATCCCTCCTACTTACTGATTGGTGAGTTGCTCAGCTCCGACAAACAGGTTGATTCTGGAGAGGCCCGTGCGAGTGCCGAGGAAGGCAACCTCCACGCCCTTGTCAGAATTCCTGAAACAGAACAGCGGACATCAGAGGAAGGCCTCTAGGCAGTAAGCAGATAATGCATTGCATTTTAAGACTCACAGAATGTTTTACCAAATAGTAGTTTTGAAACTTGAACTTTAAAAGAAGTTATAGAAACACACACACACACACACACACACACACACACACACACACAAACACAGATTGCCAACTTGTATCCCTAACAAAAGTTTTCACAGTAATATTGGCAAGAAAAATGAAGAACTTCCTGCCAACAAAAGCAGCATGTGGAAAAAATCTACTTCCAACCATACACACATCTTTATTTCAAGGTTCTGGGTGCAAGTTCAAAGAGATCAGGCTAAGAATGGGAAGGATTAGGGCTTAGGACTAGCTTTTTGCATTAATTCTACCAAGTTTATTCTTGGTCTTGAGATCATTTGTGGAATCTGTCATTAAAGCAACTGAGCCACGGTACCAAGTTTGCAGCATTCCACAGCCTGGAATTCCACGTGGTTGGAACTGGTTTTGACATCCACACAGTTGTGGGGGCACCCGCTTATCACTTCTACCAGATCACAGGCCTTGTTCTCACCACCAACCCCAAAGAGATGTGTAAAGAAATGGCTTCTTCCAATAGCCCTGTAGGAGGCTACACACAGGAACTCTAAGAAGGGCCTTGGCAAGGAAAACTAATATAAAAATTCACTAAATATCATTTTGTTTCAACTTCCAAGGCAAATTTTATATGCTTGAGTGTGTTCTTTAGGAGATTTGCAAGGCATATTTCTCCTGTGCAAAAAGCAAATGGCCTTTCTGCACAAACACATAATTTTCTTTTTTTTTTTTTTCTTGAGACAAAGTCTGGCTCTGTCGCCCAGGCTGGAGTACAATGGCACGATCTCAGCTCACTGCAACCTCCGCCTCCTGGGTTCATGCCATTCTCCTGCCTCAGCCTCCCGAGTAGCTAGGACTACAGGCACCCGCCACCACACCAGGCGAATTTTTTGTATTTTTACTACAGACGGGGTTTCACCGTGTTAGCCAGGATGGTCTCGATCTCCTGACCTCATGATCTGTCCACCTTGGCCTCCCAAAGTACTGGGATTATAGGCGTGAGCCACTGCACCCGGCCCACAAACACATAATTTTATCCTAAAATAAATGTATGAAGAGAACACCAATTCTTGAGCCTGTTTCTCTGTCCTAAATGCTACTAGCAATTTGATCCAAAGCATTCTCCACATTATCTTCAAAGTAAGGTCATTCGGTTACTTGATCTTTGATGAAAGTCAAAGTGGTGGATGCTACCTTTAAGTATTTAAGGGCTGAATAAAAACCAACACTATGCATTTCTGCTTGTAGCCTACACCAAATTGGAAAGCCAGGCTGTCCAATCAGTTACAGATGTGGACTACAAAGCAAGTTACCATTTTGGAAATCTTTAGTATGTGTTAGGAATGAATCAGCAACCTTTGCTCAAGATTTTGAGTTTCATGAGAGCTGAAAAGAAACACTTCAAGGTTCACTAGAGAAAGAAACCCCAGGACGGGCTCAATTATTTGCCAGCTTCCCAGGAAATAAGATCTATGCCATGAAGGCAAGCAGTCCAAAGACACCTCTAATAATGAAAATGGCAGTCTCGCTGGGGCTCCAGTTTTGCATATTAAACAGCCTACCTGACATCTCCATTTGGGAGACTTTCAGCCATTTTAAGCTCATGATGTCTAGAAGAGAGACTGGCCATGCCCAGCCCTAAACCTGATCCTCCCCCAGTGTCTCTTGTGTTAGCAAATAGCACCATCTGTCCAATAGCTCATGATATAAACCTGGGAATGATCTTTGATGGCTCAACCTCCCTGCCCTCACATGACAAACCCATCATCAAGTCCTAGGGACCTTGCCTCTGAAGCAAGCCACAAGTGGACCTCTTCTCTCTGTGCCCACTGCCCTGGTCCAAGTCACAAATCCCTGGGAAAACTGTAGGAACCTTTACTATTGTTCTCACCCCATTACCCTCTGTTCTCCACACAGCAATAGAGAGATCTTTTTGTAAAATGCAAATCTGATCATTTCCTTCCCCTTCTTAAAGTCCTTCAGTGATCTTCCAATGCTCTGAGTATAAAATCCAAAATCCTTAACCTGACTCTCAAGGTCCTGAGCCATGCGGACCCTCTGCAGCCTCATCCTCTGACATCTTCCAGTCTATCCTCTATATGTCAGCTGTGTCCACCTTCTTTAAATTCTGCCAATGTGTCAAATACTTTCTCATCTCAGGACCTTTGTATGTGCTGTTGCTAGAATGCTGCCTGAACCTTGAACTAGTTCCCATCTTCCTCCTCCACTTTAGATCTGTTACACTTTATGTGTCTTTACTTTTCCTTCAAAGCAGTTATGATTCTTAATAATACAGCACACTATATACCACAGGTGCCATGATGTTAAGAGCTCTATCTGTGTGGTTTCTCTCCATTTCTCCAACACCTCGGTCAGAGTCTGGCACATAACAGACACACAGTCAAAACTTGATGAGTGAATGAATGAAAATGAAAACAGAATGAATGTCAGGATGGAAGGGAAGATACAATGAGGGAATGAAATACTGAATCGAAAAATGGAGAGAAACAGGATGGAAGGGAAGATAAAAGGAGGGAACGAACAAAGGAAGAACAGGAAAGTGGAGAGAGAAATGAATCATGTAACACATGAAGATATAAGAGAAAAGGAATGGTTCTTCCTTTTCTTTTTAATCTTTAATACTCTACTTAAATTAAGAATAGTAAAGAGATAATAATAAGCTGCTAAAGCAGTTCTCATCCTAGTCTTTGATATCAACTACCACAGCCTTGCCCGCAGCCCCTCCACCCTCCACTTCAGAAATAAAACCACAGGGTTATATCTCACACCCTATGAAATCAAGCTCTCACTTCTCCGTCCCACTCACAACCTAACCTGGCCCAGATCCCAAGCTCCCTCAAGACTGCAAAGTAGAGAGAGCTGTGGCGAGGCAGGAAACGAAGTTCCCTTCTGCCTCCCTCTCTCTCGGAAGTGTCACCCTACCTCAGCGTACCAAATTTCATGTAACGTTAAAACTCAAACAAATTATATGTCAAAGCCAGGAGCTTGCCATCCAAGCCCGAGTCGCTAATCTGCTCTAGCTCTTGTGGTTTGGAGCTTGGGGGAAAATTAAAGAACTTTAACACCAGGCTCCTAAAACAGTTTAGTTCTTTAAACCATAACCATATTTCGGAGTGTTGGTGAGGAAATGGCCATGAAAGGAGGACACGTGCAACCACTTACTCAGATTTGTTGAGGGCCAGGCTGGTCCAATATGCTTCAATGGGGGCACTCACCACGGCATCAAAAAGGACTTCTTGGATCAATTCTTTATCACCTGTTGGGAGGGACAGGCAAGAGGATGCTTTGGCAGGGCTGGAAGAGGGGCATGAGAGGCACTCATGGGCTCACTGTGCAGAGTCTGCAGGCTACTTTCTCATGAGGCGTGTTGCTTTATGAGTTAAGTTCCCACCAGTTGAAAATACGAAACAGTTCTGACACCCGGTATGCCTGCAACACAGGAGCCTCCAAAGCATTTGGGCAAGAAGGTAGTCAACTGAGAGGCTTGGGTGTCTCACACTTCCGTTTCCTGCTTTCTCACCCCATTGTGTGCTTCCTGCCACGGACCAGCAGGCTGAGTCCCAGATTTGGAGGCCACAGGCCAGTACTCCTTGAACACTTGGCTGTCATCATCCCCATCTCTGTCCTCTCCTAAAACTGAAATTATTGAGCACCCTGAAATTCTCAGCCTGTTGTCACATGGGAAAGAGATACCATAGCTTAATAACCACTGGGATTCTTATTTTGTGATTCCTTCTATTTAAGAACTGTTTCATTTTATTTTTATTTATTTGCTTATTTTTTTGAGACAGGGTCTCACTCTGTCGCCCAGACTGGAGTGCAGTAGTACGATGTCGGCTCACCACAACCTCTGCCTCCCAGGCTCAAGCCAGTCTCCTACCTCAGCCTCCCAAGTAGCTGGGATTACAGGCACAGGCCACTACCACCTGGCTAATTTTTGTATTTGTAGTAGAGATGGGGTTTTACCATGTTGGCCAGATTAGTCTCAAACTCCTGACCTCAAATGATCTGCCTGAATCGGCCTCCCAAAGTGGGATTATAGGCATGAGCCAACGCACCCGGCCAAGAATCGTTTCATTTTAAAGGAGAATGTCTGTTCCCATCCAAAGGGACTCTTGGTAGAGCTCTGTGGAAGAGGCCAAGGAATGGGAGCATATGATAAGTCTAGGAGAGGCATCCTAGAACTCTCAAATCACTCTGCAGAGGAGGACAACTAATTATCACATGAGACAGGCCAGTCCTCACCTTGACTAGGAGCAAAAAAAAAAAAAAGAGCTTTGCTGAAAAGCAAAAGCTAGAAATAACTTATCATCAGTAAGACAATGAATATATTAAGTTATGTAGTGGAATTCCATATAGTAATGCAAATAAATGCATTAAAGCTAAATGATCAACACAAATTTCAAAAATATAATGGGTGAAAATATAAGTTGTAGTACATATATATTTATGCACATATTGTATATATTATATATAGTAATTCACATAATATACCATACATATAAAGTTTAATATATATTTTAAAATAATAAAATTGATGCTACATATTGTTTATAGATACCTACATATGTAGGAATAGCATTAAATTATTGAGACTAATGAACAAATACAGAAGGTCATTCTCTTTGGGAGGGAAATGAGGCTGAGCAAGGACCCAGGGACTTCAACCTTATCTGTAATGTCTCATTCCTTAAAAAGCACCTGGAGTAAGTATAGTAAAATATTAAGACTGCGTAAAGTTGGATGGTGACTACAAATGTATTATTTATATTGTCTCTATACTTTTGTTTTTTAAATATGTCCTTAAAAAGTCAAAGACAATGACATATTGGGCTTGTAGGATATCCATCTGATCCTTTCTCCACCAGCGCATATCCCGAAAAGTAAATCCATTCTATGGAGATGTCGTTTAGTAGTTGGATAATCTCCTTAAACCTCTCATAGGATTACGTATGTAAAGCACTTTTCATGTCATTGAATACATAATGCTTGTTTAGAGGTGGGGGCAGATATCATGATCAGTTTTGGTGGCTCTCCCCCTGCCCAAACTGTAGCTACTAGAGTTATCCTGTGAGAGTATAGGGTCTGCTCCTGCTTTCGAGGGGCATCCCGGGCTGCTGCTGCTCTTCCTGTCTCTTTTGCACCAGCTGAGAGATTTCTTACTCACTGAGCTCCCCTAGAAGGGGATGCTTGGTAGGTAGGACACTCAGCATGTACCATACTGAGAGGCTATGTGACCCTGTCGTGACCCCATTCTTGGGAGAACCAGGAGACCTAGATACAGCCTTGAATGAAACACAACCTACTTCCAGCCTTGGTTTCTCATTTGCAAAATAAGGGAGATGAGCAAATATTTACAGGCCCTTCCAGTTCTAACATTTCCATCCTATTCAGTTGCTTGACTAAATGGTTCAGAAGGGGACAAAGCCCAGTGCAAATAGTTAAACCAGGATTGGGGATTCTGTGCAATTTTCCAAAATCCACATTCTTTCTCCTGTTCCTACAGGAAGCAGATATTTGATTGGATTTCATGTGACTGATAATCTCTGCCAAAGCAAAGCTTCCCTTAAAAACTGAGGCCAAAAAATAGTTTTGAGTTCATTCCCCACCATTACCCCTGAAAACACGACACACTTTTGAAGGCATACTCACACTGGAGCAGAGGTTCTTTGCCTTTGAGGTAGAGCTTAATCGCTTCCAACTGAGACAGATGGCGGTGCTCAGGGTGTAGGTCAGTGTTGCAGTAGGACCTAAGAACATGACATGGCCCAAAAGAAGAGCATGTCAATATTTACAGCATCTGCTTCCTTTGCCTTGAAACCAGGAAAACTGGGCAAGGGAGCACAAACCATGCAGAATCAAAGAGGGCAACGAAGGATGCCATAGTCAAGGAGGGATGGTTTAATTCTTACCATTCATCTGCCAAGGACACATCGGGATGTTCTAAGTCATGCAGGCCTAGGGGTCAAGGAGAAGGGGTTCATGAGTAAGCACCACTTCCCCGATCCTCCTGTGTGCTTCAGATATTCTAGGGTAGGGCTGTGGGGTGGGTTAAGGGTAGACATCAACCCTAAGGGACCTGCCTTAGAGCAGGGACTCTGAGCAAAATAAACAAGTTCCCTTCCAGGCAGGACTCTCTCCCCATCTCCACCTCACTCAGCCAGCACAGCTACCTTCCCTGGCTGTTCATCCCAGGAAAACCTTAACCCCTTGAAGACAGAGGATACACAAATGAGTCTGGAGGGAGACGCTTAACAGGACTGTTAGAAACACTCAATCTGGTGCTCCATTTACTCTGAGTTGGGAACTGGGCTAGGCCACTGACCTCCTGTGTGATGTCAACAAGTTACTTTACTTCTCTGAATGTCAGTTTCTTCATGTGAAAAGCAGGAATAATAGTCCCTAATTGATGTGTGGTTGTGAGGGTGAAACTATAGGTTGAACAATATGAAGTCGTCAATACTCAACTGTTTTTGAGCGGCAAAGATTGCTAGTTGTTACAGGATCCTAAGTGAAAATGGTCATCCTTTGGGAAGAAAACTAGGGGAGCTGGTGCTTGCAGGGAATCTGGGAGTTTTTAGAGAAGGTTCCAGACCATCCTATCTCTGCAAGGATTACTGTTTCTTTGCACTTTTAAGTGGCTTGATCTTAATGGGTTATCAGCAGACATACACTTCTGAATGATGACCTCAGGAACTCCCATGATGCTTACAGCCTGTTTTGGGAAGTTAGTTTCTTAAATGACAGATAGCATCTTACTACACTCAGGACTCCAGTTTCTTTCTCAAATACAAATCTGTAAAAGAAGTAGCAAAATACTAGACCTATCACACAATTCTGCTTGATTTTACAGAAAATAGAGAATACATTAGAATGAACACCATTGCATATAATCCAAGTGGGCATATCCAGGCTCCAACACCTATAGGCTGAATGACCTTGCGGATGCCATGTCAGCTCTTTGAGTTATATCTACCATGAGATACAAGTAATACTGCATCAGTCACAAGTGCCAGAAAACAGTTAAATGGGATAGGGATTAGTCCCTAGTGCAATCCATCCATCTGTGCAGCCTTTCTTCTTTTTTTCCTTTCCCAACCAAACAACTTTCCTTCCTTTTCCTTCCTTCCTTTTGCCCTCCTCCCATTCCTTTCTTTTTTCTATAATTTTACTGAGCATCTGCTATACGCCAGGTATGATTCTAGGCCCTGAGAATATAGCAGTGAATAAAACAAGACAAAAATCACTGCCTTCATTGTTTTTAATTTCTACTGGCAGAAAAGAGATAGTAAATTATATTAAAATTTAACTTGAGTGCATATCAGATGGTGGCAAGGGCTAAAAAGGAAAAGGGAACATGGAACAAGAACAGGGAGGACCAAGAGATAAGGTGGGGGGGGCGGGGAGAGAGAGACAGAGAGAGAGAGAGAGAGAGAGAGAGAGAAAGAGACCATTGTAACTATGGAGGTCAGGAAAGGCTTCACTGAGAAAGTGACCTGAATGAGGCAAGGAAGAGTCATGTAGGTGACAGGGAGGGTGCTCATGGCAGAAGGAATAACAAGTGCAAAGTCCCTGAGAAGGGACTGTACCTTCCCAGAAAACTGGGTTAAGGGTGTCAAGTCTGTTTTTCTAGCTGCAGTTTCCATCCTCCCAACATCATTCACAAAATCCTCTCTGGCTGTATTTCACAGGACCTATAAATGAAACTCAGAAGAGATGAGATCTATCAGGAAGATCTTTTTGACTGCTTCTTCTCTGGGTTCCTAGGGCACCAAGGAAATTTAATTGTTCTCTTATTTTTTCACCTCTGATGTTGGTCCTTCTGATAAAAATCACATCTACTGATGATTTGAACTGCTGACAATAATGACCTAAGCTCTAATTTGTTGAACAATTACCATGTGCAATACATATAAAAGATACAAAGTGGCCAGGCACAGTGGCTTACATCTGTAACCCCAGCACTTTGGGAGTCCGAGGAGGGCGAATCACGAGGTCAGGAGTTCGAGACCAGCCTAACCAACATGGTGAAATCCTGTCTCTACTGAAAATACAAAAATTAGCCAGGAGTGGTGGCACGCGCCTGTAATCCCAGCTACTCAGGGGGCTGAGGCAGGAGAATCACTTGAACCTGGGAGGTGGCGGAGGTTGCAGTGAGCCAAGATCACACCATTGCACTCCAGTCTGAGCAAGAGAGCAAGACTCCATCTCAACAACAACAACAACAACAAAAGATACGAAGTGTTGAAAAAGATTAAAAGATTCATAAAAGAAACAATTTCAGCAGGTAGAACTATAGCCCATACCTTCAATCTCGGTAATGACTTTTTATATTTTTGACCAAAATCTACCTATTTGCCATCTTTGTAATCTCTGGCATTGGCAAAGCATGTGGAAAATTCCTACATTCTGTAGGGAGTTATTCCTTATTGAAGATCCTATAGAAGTGTGGTTGCCAACCCCAAGGAACTCCTTCCCTCTCCAAGAACAGAACAATAATCACACCATGGCTCCTGGAGATGATGAGACCCTCTACTAGTTGGCCCAAGGGGAAGCAACTTTCTTAAGTTCTATTACTCAGCAAAGCTGGCAGGATTGTCAGTCTTTTTATTTACAGAGGACCAACAGAGAGAGGAAGATATGACCTCATTTGTGTGGATAAGCAGCTACTCTCCCCCTTGCTGAGGATTTGAGCTAATTTCTTGCATAGTGGTTACAGTTAGCTCTGAAATTCTATGTGACCGTTTAGCCTCACAGCTGTGGAACATACAGGAAGAAGACAGTGACTGAAAAAGAATCCAAAAGACAATGCAAAACAACTGTGTGTATCTGTGTCTCCATGCATGCGTGTGTGTGTGTGTGTGTGTGTGTGTATGTGTATGTGTGTGTAAGAGAGAGAGACAGAGAGAGAGGAAGGGAGGGACAGGCCCATGTATTGAAGATTGACCAAGGGAACAGACCCATGAGAGGCAATTAATCCCTTAATAACCTCTCCTTCTATTGTTCTGATCATGAGTTGTTTCTTCAGTTTGACCTCACATGGCTTAGACATGAATTTTCTGGCTTAATGGGCAGTGATGTCCACAGAGCCAACATGGCCCACAGAGCCAGAAAATTCTAGAAGTGAAAACATGATCCTGAGAACACATCCTGGAGAGTGTCTTGCCCAAGTCAGAGTTGCCTGTGTTCTCTGGTGTGTCTCTGGGAAGAGAGACCACACGGTTAGCTCTTTGGTGGGCACATTCTGCGTTCTGCCCAGCTCACAGTGAGCCCCTCTAATTTCCTTTCCACCCCCATACAATCTCACAATTACTTGGGAAGCACAAACCAACATCCCTGAAACAACATGGGCAGGGACCATCGGCAGTAAACCAGAGGCTATCTAGGAGTTTGGCGTCTCAGGGAACATTCACCTCCTTCCTCATGCCCTGTGGCATCACCTGAGAGTGCTGTGGATGGCCCAGCTTCCGGAAGCTCACCACATGCGTGTATAATCAGTTCTGACCAATTAAAACTTGGCTTATAATTGACCTTCCTATTCCTGACTGTCTTCCCTATGGATATCCAGAAAGACTACTGTTCTGGGCCAACTTCTTCTCTGTGGATATGCAAAACCTGATGACGTGGAAGTGAGTCACTCAAGGCAACTCAGGGAGTGGGGCCCTTCAGAAATGATGTCTACCACCCCGTGAGCTCCTAATGCTGGGACAGGTAACCTCTCTGAACTACCGGGTAGTTGGGAGAAGAAAAGGACAGCACGTGTGACAGCAATTTTAAAATTTAAAGAGCTATCACAACTGCTCCTGTTTGCTGAGCGTTTACTGTGCCTCTGTGCTTTATGAAGACAAGAGGGTCTGGGAACTTCAAGGTGCTACTTACTCCCTCTGACCTATGTAAATCATTTAAATGGTCACATTTCCCATCGCAGCCAGGGCTGCCATGAAACACAAGTGAAATATGTGGCTCAACTGTGTAGGAGAGACTAAGGCTCTCATATCTCTGTTTTCATGGTTTCCCCTGGGCATGAGTTATTTCATAAATTTGTATTTCTCCCAAGTACCAATTTTTATATATGAGAAGAATATAGTTGAGGGATGATTCCTATTTACTTATATTCTGCTTTCATCCACAAAGCTGTTAACTATGAGTAACTCACAGTCAATAGCATCGTGGATGAAAGCAGAATATAAGTAAATTAAATCACAACCCTGAATTAGAATTCCTGCCATTCTGAATTCTAGGCACAACAGGGAAGAAGAAAGGTATTAAGAATATCAAGTAGGCATTTGTTTGAGTGGGATGTCCAAGGGACTGGTCAGAGGTGTGGACAGATGAACAAGTTCTTCAGATAACTCAATAGCTGGCTCCCGAGCTTTCTTCCCACACCAAAGGATAAGACGAGCCAGGCAGCATCTTACCTTCTTCGATGGTTACATTCCCTCGGAAGAAATATTTCCCATGACCTCTGGAGAGCGCCACACCTAAACTGTGCAGAGAGACAAAGCAGATCTTGAAACCCCTGGCATCAACTCGAATAGACTTGTGGGCTAACATTTTTTAATTTTTCATTTTTCACATTTCCATTTTATAATCTATAAACAATTTTTCCAACTGTTTACTTTCAAAACCCCACTGATTATCACTGGTGTTGGTTTTTCTTAGGTTCAATCAGCTGCTTCAAAGTCATTTCTGATTGGAAATGCCAGCAGCAATTGGCTACTCTTTGTGTTTTCAGAGTTGTGGCAAACTGCTCGCCCTTCCAGCAAGCCCTTCTCTCAGATGCCCTCCCAAGGACTATGCGGCCTGCTCTTTATACACCCTTGCCCTGCATTCAGCCAGAGATGGGTCTCTCCATCCTCTAGAGTTTGGGACTCAGGAAATTGACCCCTTCTCAAGGGCAAAAACAAAAACTTCCTCTACCACATGAGTGTAACCGCATTGGTGTTGCAGGCTTCTTTGCCCAATCCTCTCCCTGGTCTAACAGGTTTTTCACACTCACTGGTTTGATTTAAGATCCATTCTGTTTTTGTCTAAAGCAAGAGACTATGTTTTTAAAACACAGTCTCTTACTTTAGAGAGACTACTTGGCAAACCCACTTAGCAGCTCATGTGTTCCTTGTTTGCTCCTGGTTCCACATGGAATCCACCCATGATCCTTGGCAGTTTAGGACAACAATGCTAGAATTTATTTTTCAGATTATTCTATAGTCAGTAAACTCCTTCTCTCCTTAGCTCTGAGACACCAGTTCAGGAACATGAAGCAGGCCTACTGAAATAAATTTTTACAAAACGAATTACAACACTAAGTTAATAGTAGTGGGAAATTTTAGAATGCTACATACACATCTGAAAGCAGGCAATGAGGCAAAGCCATTTTTCAGGACTGTTACAAAGAGAAACAACAGGATTCAAAAGTAGACAAGCACACAAGGACAGTTCAGAGAAATGGAAACAGAGGCACAACATGTAGGGATGGATATGCCACCTCCAGGTTTGAAGGATTGCTTTTTTTTTTTGGTCATGGAAATAAAAGGTGAAATGGAACTCACAAAGCAGCAAGTTCAATGGTTAAGGACCCTGGTAAACCTCTGCACTTGTCTTCACCCTTAGCGGGAACCCCCAAAGCATAGTTGCTTGACAATGAGATGCAAAGCCACGGCAGATTGAGTGAGTTCTCCTAGGTGAGCCTGAACCATCTCCCCCCCTTCTGGAAAACAAAAGCAGCCTGGGAAAAGCCCCTTCCTCACTCTTTCCAGCCTTTTGGCAGGGTGTTTGGTTATCTTCAGATGATGAGCTCTGAGAGTGTCAGCAGGTTTTGTACAAACACAACTGATGGGTCTGATGGAATGTCCATGTATTATGGTCAGCTCTACCTGAAAGGAGTACCCTTGATGTCTGTATAATAGTAGTCATTTGTCATCACCAAAACCCGTTTCTAGATTGAAAAAAAAAAAAAAAAGTCGTAGAGAAAAGAAAACATGGTTAGTCTGCTAAGTGACGTCTTCAGAAATAAATAAAAATAAATGGACACACTATGATCAGGTTAACAGTACTACATGAATCTTGTTTGAGATAAGTAAAGACAAGAGAAAAATGATCTCAGCGAAAGATATTTATTCCAGATATAGCTTTCAAAGCTAATTTTTCACAGTGGTTTGTTTTAAATTAAGCGGCAAAAATGTTTGAGAAAAATGTACCCCTTTGTCCACTGTCTTCTTCACCTCCATGGAAAACTTCCCCGTCTTTCGATTCACCATAGCATTTCTCAACTAAAATGATAAAAGAAAAGTGTGTTAGTTCTTCCCTGGTTTATCATGTAATCTGGACACCTTGCATCCTCAGTGTGCCGTGGAGCCTTATACCTCGAAAACAGACTGAAGAAAAAACACCCAGCTGCTCGTGTACAATGGGAGACAGGCGAACAACAATAAATAAGTGACCTTCATCTTCAATTTGGGGAGCTCGTGTAAACTTCAGGACAATAACAAAAGAGCCTCGACAATACTGACGAATCCCGGGAGTCAGAGAGTGAACTCCTGGAGACCTGCTAAAATGCAGAGCAAGAATGTCTCTAGGGACGAGGTACGTTTTCAAAAAGGGTACTGATTTGTCATGGAGAAATCACTTTTCGAAACATAATCGAGTTAAAGACGTTTTCCTACACAGTAGTTAAAAAAAAAAAAAAAAAAAAAAAAAGGCCAAGCATTTGGAAGACAGGGGTTAGCCTTTCCTAAGATGAATCATCTTTAAATGCTCTCTGAGAAATCTGGGTCAATTAATGACCTTGCTGATGAGGCAGTGAACAGGAGCGACCCTGTATCTGATTTTTGGAGGTCCCGTTTAGGAGCAGTGAGCCTGGCTCTCCTCCCCCACCCCCGGCTGACCTCATCTAATTACATGTGGCCCTTCCATGAGTTCAGAGGAGGACAGCAGACACGGTGATGAAAGATGTGCCGTCATGGGCACCAAGGCAAGACGACAGAGAAGGCCAGTTAATGGAATAGGAGCAAACGCTGACATGCCACAGCCTGTCAAGAAAGGTTCTCTCTCCACCCCTCTCTTGTCTTTTTCATCTTTGCCCCTTTTCTCCTTTGAGGAGCTTGAGTAAGATCTGGCCGATAGAAAACTGCAACACTAGCAAGCAACCTAAATTTGATTCGAGGCTGTGTAGATTTGGGTTTGCAATCTCATCTTCAGTGTGAGTGAGTAAACGCGTAATTTTTAGCTGGAGGCATGTATAAAATAAAACATATATTTTACTCTAGATTTTTTTTAACAACACATAATGGGCATTTCTGGAAATATTTTCCCATTTTAACTTTTGTGGTTTTGGACATGGAGAGCTGGTCCTAATTAAGTCTACTTTCTAACTTTTAAAGAACGGCTCGATTTATCTTTAACATGGTTTTCATTTTTCCTCTTTCTGGTGCCTGCCTAAAGCCATTTGGGACCTTCTCCTCTCACACTCTCCAGGCAAACTAGAGATGAGGTAAGCCTCTCTGTGTCTCCATGGCACCCCGCCCCCAACTCCCAGTAGCACAGAACAATCAGCATGGGGGTCTGGGAGTGTCCAAGGCCAGGGTCACTGGTGCCTCCTTTAGTCTTGCTCTTTTCTGAAATCATAACGAAAACAGGTTATACTTATTGAACCTACTTGTGAGGTAGGATGGCACTGTAGGTAAGAAATGGACTCTGGAGCCAGAGCTTTACGATCTTGGCTATCTCGATCACTTACCATCTCTGTGACTCAGTTTTCTCTTCTGAAAAATGGAACTAATGCCAGCACCCATCTCATTAAGTTGTAGTGAAGACTGATGAGTCAATATTTAGAAGAGTGCCTGGTGCCTCCTAAGCACTCAATACGTGTTAGCTATCCTCCATCATCACCAACACCATAGTCAACAGCATCTTTATCATCGTTATCCTCATTACCATCTTCCTCATTTTCACTTAGTGTCAGACACCTTTCAGTAGCTTAAGGCATCAGGATTCGGACTTGAGTTTGCTTGACGCAGATGCACAAGCTCAATGTTTACCTTTCCAAGGTAAACTTTTTGACTTTGAACCATGTAAGAAATACCTCTTATTCTGACGATGACCCTCTCATCTCCTATTTTAGTAGACTTCATTGCTATGTTGCTCATGAACCACTAAATGGATTCTCTTCCAACTTCCCACGCTGAAAATTGCTGCTCTTAACTGCCTGTAGGTTTGCATAGACCAAAACGGAGACAGCCCCAGGTAAAGAGGTAAATCACGGTATCAATGTTCAAGTTTTGCCACTGACACAAGCCAGCTGTCCCGTGACCTCTCTGTGGCTCACTTTCTTCCTGTTCATTCATTCTGTCTAAAGTGTTCATGAGTGAGGACTCCCAGACCCGAGGGATCCTGTCAGGTGCTATAAAAACGGAGGTCATCAGATTCCTATGAAATTCAGATACTACTGAGAGATACTACTTACTGAGCTCTTACTGAGCTCTTACTGTGTGTCAGGCACAGATTTTAAAACCCTCAAACTTATCTGCTGAGGCACTGTTATTATCCCCATTTTACAGGTGGAGAAATAGACACAGATAAGAAGTTTGCCCAGGGTAACGAGGCCTCTGCCTCTTGAGCCCATGCTCTTAACCTCTGCTTCCCAAATCAGAAGAGAAAGCACTTGGACAAAATTAAATATTTTATAGCATTAATATAAAAATCATATAGTATTTCTGAGCTTTTAAAAAACCAAATAAAATGTTTTAAAAATTGACCATGTCATAGTCTGAGGTCCTAACTTCCCGGCAGACTCTTCTACAAGCTCTAAGTACTATGATCTAGGGTTGACGGGAAGGTGGTTTTCTCCTCCTTGCCAGAGGAGGAAAGGGAGTTTGATGATTTAATAGACTGTCCTGTGAGAATACAGCATTGTGAGGCGGAGCATTCTAGAAATGTCACTTTTTTATCTTAGGAGGCTGTGGCTTGAGAAAAGGAGCAACTTGCCCAGAATCACAGTCACTGGCACCCCTAGGTTGTAAGATGGCAGAGGAGTCCTAAACACAGGCCAAAGTGATGGGGAAGAGCAATGCAATCTGTCCCCACCTAGGGCAGGGAAGGTGTGATGTTCGCTGCTTTGAACTTGCCACTGCCTGGATTTACGACAATGAACAACTGGAAAAATGCAAACGGCCTGGCAGAGGAAAATTTCCAAACAAGTTTTGATGTGCCCATATGTTCGCATATTATGTAGTCATTAAAAACCCCATGTGCAGCTGTTCAACTTAACACATAGAGAAAGGCAAATTAAAACATCAGTGGCATACCTTGATTTTTCCATATCAGATATCAAGCATCTGCAAGTGTGATAATGCAGTGGACATTAAAGCAGCTTGTACCACAGTGTACTCAATAAAATAAGAGGTAACATCTCCTCAGGCTGAAAATACTCATCTGGCGACAGTGATAGCCTCTCCACTCTATGAGAACCACCCTTTCCCCTGGGCCCTGCACTGTCCAGTTCAGATGTGCTTCTCCAGAGCCCCTGGTGAATCTGTCTCTCTTCTGCAGTGCTGAAGCTGCAGCTGCTTGGATAACCACTCAAAACACCCACTTTCCTGCCAACCTCGTTACAGCTGGAAGCCATGTTTCCTGTTTCATTGTTAGCCTGCTACTCTGACCAGCCATGTTATAGCTCATTAAAGCAGCTTTCCCCAGAGGTTCACTGGCCACCTTAAGTTGTGTGTATGATTATGGAATGATAGCTCGTGCTCCTAATGGTGGCTCATTGGCCACATTAGAACATGAGTCTCACCTTTTCTGGTGCACAGGCAGCCTGCATTTCTAAGCCCCTAATGACATGCAACCACGGACAAGCTGGTGGATTAGAGAGGAAGGGAGACACAGTGGATAAACAGGTCTGTCATTCCCAAGCAAGCATTGAACCAGCGTAGGAAAACAGACTTGGGCATGGAGAACCTGTACAACGTTCTCTCTCTCTTCCTCCTCCCCTATGGGTCAGCCTGGGTTTGGAGCAGGTGGGGGAGTGTTGTGATTAATTTGGGTGTCCAGAGCTCAAGCATGAGCTGGAGAGACACTCTGGGAAGGGTATAAAAAAGAATCAAATAAATGATTCTCAGAAGGTCTCAGAAATATGCCCCAGGAAAAAGGCTTTTTTGCCTTATAGGGCTTCTGGCAAAAAAGACTCCGGAGAAATTTTCCATCAGAGTCATCACGGGTATGAAGCAATGTAGTTGCCTAGAGGGTAGTAGGGGAAAAAGGCTTATACCACAACGGAAGGCATTGTAGTTAGATTCAAAGTAGAATCTATGGGGCAGTATTCACAACAATACCATGCAGAGAAACATCTGTTTAGCAGCTACTACGTGCAAGGCACTTCCCATCTTTACTGCACCCCGAAAGGAAGATAACCCATATACTATGCATCACTGAAATAGAGTCTTCAAGGACTCCTGGACTCAAGGAATTAAGGGCTCTCTCTATGTAATATCCAAGTGTCAAGAGCACGGCTCTGTGGGCCAGACTGCCTGAGTTAGAATCCACACTCTATGTCCTTAGGCCATTACATCCATTCTCTACCTCAGCTTCTCTACCTGTAGAATGGAGAAAACAAAAACACCCATTTCATAGGTTTACTGTGAGAAATAAATAAGTCCACTCATGTATATCACTTAGAATGGTACTGGTGTATAGGAAGAGCTAATATATGGCAGTTATTATTTATATGAGTTTTTTCTATTAGTAGATATAATCACATTCAATGTGGAAAGCTTGGGAATAACTGAAAGTTAATAGGAACAAAACAAAAAAAATCATCCTTAATTCCTTGTGCCATCTCTGAAAATTTACAACCAAAGGATACACGCTATTTTTAAGATAAGTTTCCCTTCCCAGAGGGGATCTACACTGGCGATTCAGACTGGGCTATGCATGTCTCAAAATCCTCTGCTGGCACATGAGTACCCCAAAGATCTGCTCTATTTACTGTATTCCTGACCTGATGCCTAACTCATCCTGAAGAGTGGGACAGAAGTCCTGCTCATACTCCTCTAAATAATTTTAAATTGTTGTCTTTTTTTCTTTTAATTTTAGCCAGTCTATTTTATATGCATTTTAACAGTATATATGAACTTACTTCAATTTTGGAAGTATGCAGGTTGTAACTGTGGTTATTAAATTCAGGAGCCTACTTCCTAGAGAAGTAGAACTCACCTTCCAATAAGTTCTCTGCATCCGGGCAGACTCCACTGCTTCTTCCTCAGTGGGCTGTGCTTACATGGTCTTTCCTAGATTTCGATGTAAACCCTGTCCTCTGCTACTGAGGTGCAAACCCCAATGCCCAGCACATGGACATGTGAGATTTTGTGCAGACTTCACAATGATGCTTTCTGTAGATTGCAGAATTCTCCAATTAGTGACGTGCAAATCCCCAGGAGAGAAATGGTGGTTTGGGTTTTCCCAAGTCAAATATGTTGATAGAGAAGAAATGCACCATACTCCAAGGTGAAAGAGACTCAAACCAAAGAGATAACCAGAGACCAATCTGCGTGGAACAAAAGCACCGGACCCGCTTGAAACACAGGAACTCTGAAGTTGGACGGAGAGAACGCAGTCCTGGGTGTCAGGTGGAAGTGAAGAACACGCATGTGAGACTGCGAATCCGATGCCTGTGGCTCCAACAAGAAAGGAAAGTAGGATGAGGAGATACAAGGTGTTCCCAAACTGTGATTACTAAAGGAGACATTTGCTCACTGAAAATTAGCTGGGGCACAGGCGATGATTGGAGTAAGCGGAGTCATACATCTCTTCAAGTAGCACGCAAAAAAGGAGACGATTCAGTGAGGTCACAAACAAGCAAACAAACAAAAATAAATCAACAGCTAAAGTGAAGAAGGAAGAGGAAGGGCAAAAATGGAAAGTCCCCTCCAAAGATTCATAGCAACTGTAAATCCACAGGACATTCATTCATGACAGGGTCCCCTGAGGACTGATGAGGTCAGAATAATACTAATAATGGATACCACTTGTAGAATGCTCACTGTGTCCCCAGAACGGTGCAAGTACTTTTCTGTTTTTCAATCTATTAATCCATTTAATCCTCAGAACAGCTCTATGAGGTCGGGACAACTGTCATCACACTCATTTTCTTGGGGAAAAATAAAACAAAAAACACAAAATAAAACTGAGGTCTAGAGAGGCATGATCACCCACCCAAGCCAAACATCTGGCAAGCAGCAAAGGTGGGATTTGAACCTGGCAGGAGTCTAACACCTGAGTGACACTCCTCACAACTGCGCAAAGCCAGGGTGGGCACATTAGGTGCAGGACAATCCTGAACTGACCGGATCCTTGTGACAGTGTTTAAGGAGCAAGAAGATTGAAAACTCGACCATGCTATTGAGCTGACACTATGTCAGGCCATTGGCTTGCGGGGAAAAGGGTATGGAGGAGGAAGGAGCTTTTATCAAATGGCAAAGTTATTTTGTCTAAACTTGGGTTTAAGTAGTAGACTTAGTGCAGATGAAGAAGAAAAGAGGTTACATTTCTAAAACAGGTATGGCTCTCGCATTTTACAGGCAAGGATGGAAATGAGAGATTTATGCTAGTTGAGCTGGTGACAAAGTGCAGAGGGTGTGGAAAGAAGGAAAGCTGCAGTAGAAGCACCGTGATGCTGGCCTCATGTTCTGGAAGGCATGAGAACCCAGTCTGGGATTTCAAACGGTTCTCCTCAACATCCCTTTGGAGAGCAGGATGCAGTGAGAGATGGAAACAATGCTAACTCAACAGTGGAACTTAAGAAAGGACCCCAGACGAATCTGGGGGTGGGTAGGGCAGAGAAACGTGGTCTCGGTACAGAGACACCCTAAGAAAAAGTGAAGAGTAGGGACCCAGATGGAAACACCTGGGAAGTTATGATTTAATTAAGGAGAGTCCACCTGGATTCACACAAAGGCAGCCGTGTCTAACAAATCTGATTTATTGAGGAAGTACCAAGAAGACTTGACAGGGTTAAGTCATGGGCATAAGGAGAGCTTTTGATAGAGCACCATAGGCTGAATCTATGTGGGAAAAAGCATGGGGTGCAATTGCAGCAAGGCCGGAGCAGAATGAAAGGCTGGGAAGGTACAGGAAATGGGCAGCCTACCAAGCAGGAGGAAAGTGAGCCTGCAGAGCCCTGGGCTGCACTCTGAATACAAGGGCTGTGCCCATGAGGTCCTGACAGGTGAATTCTTGCTGCACAGGAACCTGCCTGCTTGGCCTGCAGGCACTGACTGCACCGGGCAGAGCCTGCTATTGCCCAGCCAGATTCCACTGAAGATGTCAGGGGCCATCCACTGCGCTGGGAAGGAGGCTGGAGTCATCAGCTGCAGAGGGGACCGGCGTCCGCCAGGGGATGGTTTTAGTAGACTGCACAAGCAGCTGGGGTGGCGGGCCTGTCTGCAACTGGTCCGACTGACCGGCCGGAGAGTTATAAAACTCCACACATGGTACAAAGGCCCATTGTCTCCACGTCTCCATGTCCCTCTGGTGGCCAGGTGTCCCTTCAGTGGGCCTCTTGGCCAACTCCTGGGATCGCCCCAGGTACAGAAGTGGGTACAATGCAGCTCCTTCTCCACGAGGCCTGAAAACAAATCACTTACCACGTCATCTCGGTCTTCCCACTCCACCTCAGAGAGGTCAACGCTACTATAGTTAGGTTTCCTTCGCTTTTTTCCTTCTTCATACTAGCAAGGGGAAGAAAAACAAGAAAAGAAAAGAAAAACGAAAGTCCGTGAAGTCTTCAGCCAGGGCAATCTTTATCTTCCCAAGTCCTGTTTCACGGACAGGGCTTCGGAGGGGACCGATGTGGGTGAGAAGCCCAGCAGGGTGACAGTCCTAGGGACTTTTAATGACAGGAAAGTCAAGGTCAGCTGCCTCTAAACATTTGCTCCAAGTTGGGAGAGTAGAAAAGTTAACTCTTTGCTTGATATGAATTTACCCTGTAGACTTCTTGGATTCCTAAACAAAGTGCAGAGGGTGTGGAAAGAAGGAAAGGAGATGCAAAGGAAAATCTGTCCCCTCCTTGAATGGGGTATGTGTGTGTGTGTGTGTGTGTGTATGTGTGTGTACACATATATAGTATACATGTAAACAATGTAAATTCTATAAATGATAGCAGACTAGTTAGCAGTTGGATTTGTCTTCTCATTGAATGGGGTGTGTGTGTGTGTGTGTGTGTGTGTGTGTGTGTGTGTGTATTCCAAAGCTGCTAAAACTCAATCCATGATACGAGAAAGGGCTTCTTACTTACATTTACCAAAAATCTAGTCATATCCCCCTATACTTTATAATTCTCCCTCCTCTACCTTTTGTCTCAAACCTACCCGCACTCCTTAGCTAGGAAGCAAAAGCACTGATCTCCACAGCTGGGGCTGGGCTCAGCATGCTGGTGGCATTTTGCAGACACACGGAACCATCTATTTGTTGTCACACTGGCCACAGCAGTACTGAACTAAGCACGGCTCTTTTACCTGGCGTAGACGAGGGTATTGGGAATCACAGCCAGATTTAATGGCTGTTAGGGCATTTCTCCGGAAAAGCTGATGAGTGTATGAATAACTGGGGAAGTGGTTTTAGTTTTCTCCCCTAAATCACTGGTGTTAGTCACCCTGCAAGCCTACCATTTTATCGACCGGACGTTCTTGTGTCTGGACGTTCTTGTGTCTTGAGGCCTTTCATGCTGGTTGTGGGTGTTTATAATGTAGGAAAGTCTGCCCTCTGCTGCAGGCTAAGGATTAGCAACCCCTTTACACGTTCATCAGATATGGTTAATGGCACACTGGAAAAATATATATGCATGCATACTGCTTTCTTTTTCACTTTTCTCTCCAGATTGGCCATCTTTTGATTTAACTGGAAGGTTCTAAGTAAGATACAGGGTCAGTCTAAGTATTTTAAGACCCCAAAACCATAGGTTGCCACTTTGGACACTGACTAGCTACTGTGGAGACAGGTGCTGAGGCCACACTGGGCATGAAGGAGAAAACTGCCACCCATATGTTGAACCAGACAAGTGTAAACTGACCCCCAGTGCGATGAGGGGAGGGCCAGACGGGGTCGATCTTGCACCACTGTGGGGCCAAACAGGGCCAAGTGTCTATGCATGCACTCTTTTCTTACCTGTCAACTGCATTTCAGGAACTCTGCGACCTCTCTGGAGACTCCCCCTCCTCACCATTATCTAGGATGGTGCCTAGCCTCCTATGGCCAGTGGGCTCTTACCACCCTGATCAATGGTGAGCCCACCCCCTACTCTTAGGTTTTCAATTAACAGACATTCACGGCCAGTTTTATGACATCAGATCCACTCCAGATGAAGGGGAAGGAAAGTGGTTCCCTCAGAAGCCGCTGTAAACAATAGCAGATTAGCAGTTGGATCTTGTTAAGGAAAGTTCCTGTGTGCATGGAAGCCCTGGTCCTTGTGAGATGCAGTCTTGGGCTGAACAGAAAGAACAGGAACGAGATCAACCGGAGTTGTCAGCAGTGGTGCCTTGCCCCTCAGTGTGGAGGAGTGCAGGCAGGGATGGTCGTGTCCCCCTGAGGACTTAGAGTCAGACAGTCATTCTGGACCTCTGTTGCCTAAGAACCATTACTGACACTATTAGGCACCCCAGAAACTCACACAGCCCAGATCCTGAACTTCACAGGCAGAACTTTCATAATTTCTCAGGTAGCCTGATGCTGGATCTAAACTGTCTATTCAGAGGAAGTTCTTTCTTTGGTCACTTCAAAGTGCTTCTTTATTCATTTATTCAATGCACATTTATTGGACACCTACTAAGTGCAAGGCACTAAAGATACAAAGTCAATTAAACAGTGCTTCATTCTTTCCCAAGGACTTACTTGTAGTTTATCCTTCTTAATTCTGCTTCTTGAAGGTCAATTTATTGCCCATAATGCATTTGGGAAAACAGGCTCTCACATGTTAAATAAATTAAGTAACAACTTAAATAAGATCGCATAGCTAGTATGGTAGAGGACACTCCACCCACCACCAGCCCCTGTTTAAATTTTCATGTCTAAGCCTCATGTTATTTCAACCACTGTTAAAGAGCTTTGAAAAAAGACTACAAGCTCCACAGCAACAAATGCTCCTTCGTCCTCAAAAAAAAGGTCCATGTGTCTTTTTCAGAGGAGAAGGTCACAGTGGCTCTGCCATGTCACACCACTCATATCCAGCTACTCCAAGCTTCTTTCCTCAGTTGCAAATGGGTAAAAACAATAGTACCTCAATGGCAAAGAAAGGTTGAGAGTATTAAATGAGATATTGTATGTAAAATGGCAAGCACATTCCTAGACACAGTAAAATCTTTTAATATTCAGCTAGCAAGATTCCTGAGAGTCATGCATTTCGTGGAATGACACGCTCATTGATATTAAAATTGGCTAATATCTCATTTTCCTGAAATGAAGAAGATCGTTCAATAATTTTACTGGCCACCATTCTGCAAACCATAGGCAGAGAGAAGCTGTTTGTTGACTATGATGGTGTCAGACAATCACATTCATATGTCTCTAACTAGTGTGTAGCTTACAAGTTTGAACTGAAGACTCTCCTGGCAGAAAAATTCATACTTGTGCTAAAGAACCCAAGTCATTTTAGATGGTATTTGGCAAAGGTGGAATCAGCAGATAATTATTGACTTCTGATCCTCCCCAAATGTCTTTACTCATTTTTTATAATCTCTCAATAAATACAGGACATTGCACCAAAAAGGTATTCAAGATATTTGGGATGATTAGAGAGTGATGGAATAAAATATTTCCCATCATACTAGCCCATGAGACACCATATTCCAGCAAGTCTCTATAATCTAATTTCATGGCAAGCTACAGATAGGGGGTAGGGATACTTCCTCTGGAACACTGTTTAAGAATGCCTTTCTACAATGTCTGCTTAGCCAGGTATGGAAAATGGGTCTGAAACACTTTTCATTTGGGTCTTTATTAAAGAATAAGCTCCTTTAGAATATAAACAGTCATGCAGCAGAGTGATTAATTTGAGTGAGAGAAGGAAAAGTCAGTGGGCTGTTGCATAGATATAACAGGCCAAGAGCTATGAGACAACTCTAACGTACTAAGCCTAAATCCACCTACCTCTTTTCCCTTACTAAGAAAGTACATTAAAAGGCCAGAGAGTGGCGCTCCATCAGGAAGGTTCCTATGCTTTGTCCTGCCACCACCCATTCCCCACGTTTTCCAGGTTAATCACCTCGGTTTTCCTGTAGGGAACTCCTTGGGCACCACTCCCATTAAGCATAATTCTAGTGAAGGTACAGTCATGTGGCCTGATCAGTGAGGGAGGTCCACATCACTCCAGGATGTCACTGGTTCAGAGGTGGGTACGTAACCCACACAAATTCAAATGAGATTCAATCTGGGATGCATTCCTGGATTTATCCAGAAAAAGAGGTGTTGCTAAGGTACCAGGATGGGAACTTCGAATAGCTCATGGTCATCTCTGCCACTACTTGGAGACAGTCTTACCGGGCATGAAGCCAGTGCAGGGAAAGCAGAGAAAGGATATGAAGAGAGTCCTGAAAATGTGGTATATGCACCTGGATCAGGCTGTACCTGAAACTCTTGGATGTTTTGTATATCAATACTTTATCTCCACATTATCCCCCTTCCCTTTTAAAGGCTTTTTTTTTTTTTAAAGCTGGCTCAGATCTTAAGCATTGAGTAGTCAACAGAATTCCAACTTATATATATTTAGTGCCTTTATTTTTTTCTTTTCAAATAAACTGCTTTTAAAGTACATGTTATGTGAGGTATTCACAAACATTGGTGCTTTCATGATTATCGAGGAACATGTGATTTATAAAATGCCTCACTACTCTCCAAGATACACGACTGTGTTTGAACACAGTTGATCTCTCCTTGGCTACTCACCCTCACCCCTCACCCCCATGAGTGACAGAAAAAGAACTAAATTCTCAAATGTCCAACTCCCAGGCCCAGTCTCCCCTCTCCCATGCAGTTTTAAAAGGGGACGAATCCCAGGTCCCTCGGCTCCACAACTCCCTCTTCTTCTGCGTGAGGAGTTGGTTACCGGGGCCTAAGCATTGTGTATGGCATTTGTTAGCGTATCTATAATCTGTAACTTCCTTTGAAAATGTGATTAACAAATTGCAAACGGTTTCCAAAGGTTTATAAACAGATACTTTGAGAGCCACAGGTAGGTTTGTAGTTTTTGGTGCCTGTTTTATGAAAAAAATCTGTGGGGGAGAATTTAATAAGGAAAGATATTCTGTGCTATGGAATACTTTGAGGTGGAGTTTCAAATAAAGGCCAGATGTGGGGAACACACAAACAAGCCCTTGGCCTAGCAGGATGGGACAAGAGGGCACCCATCCGCAAAGCAAGCTGGAACCAGGACCTGCCTGCAGCCCAGAGCCTTCCTGGCCGTATTTAATGGTCTGGATACCAGCACCCTTTTGCGTTACCTACAGACTGACTTTGGAGGCACAATGGGCTGGGCCAAGGCAATGGCCATGTTGATTTAAATAAAACAAAACCCCTTTGCTCTTTCTGTGTTCTTCTGGGAAAGGCCAGAGGAAATCAGCTGTACACATCCATGCAGCCTCTGTGGAACAAATGCTGTGTGTGCTAGTAATTGATAAACTGTATGTGCCACTCCACGCTGCCAACAGGAAGGAAGGGGATAGAAGGAAGGGGAGATCCC